TGCCGGAGCCCATGGCGGCCTCTGCTCTGGGATGGGCCCCGCTAACCAGCATGCCGCTGTTCTTCGACACTCTTGCGTGGGGTTGGGGCCTGTTTCCAGGCTGCATGGTGTTGGCTGGAGGCTCCGGACCCCAAGCAGAGGTTCAGATCAGTGCTAGGGTAGAAAGAGAATTTCTGGAGCCCGGTAACCCGTGTTCACCTCCCCAGCCACTCACCCTGTGTGGGATCTCAGCAAGGTCCCATCACTGAGCCTTCATCTGCCAAGTGGGGACAGGACAGGTCTCCAGTCCCTTCTCTGAAGCCCTTGGGGCCGGAAGTGTTTTGGAAGCTAGTGATTTTTGTATTTTAGAAAGTCCTACATGATGAGCAGCAACCTGTAACCAAGCATAAATATTTTCACAGCAAAATCTATGACCGTTCACATGGCAGGGGGATAGACCACAAACAGGTTTTGCCACCAAAATAGTTAAGAAAAAAGTCTTTTGTTTGGGGGAGCTTTTGGATTTTGGAATTGCAAACAAGGGCTAATCCCAGCTTTGAAGAGTTGCTGTGAAGATGAGGAATGCTACCCGCTCTGAGCCCAGTTGCTGGCATGGTGGGTGCTCCACAAACGGTAGCATGGACAGTGATGCTAATAATGGTAGTTTTAATGCCATCATTGCCATCACTCCCTTCTTCAAGCCTGGCCAGCAGTTCCCTCTGGCAGCAGGACTCTTGAGAAGCCCTATGCCTGGGTGGCAAATGGGCACAGTGGGCCTCCTTTGGATCTGAGGCCCCATCTGTCCACAAAGTACCTCTAGGTGGGACTGGAGGCTGAGAGGCAGAGGGCAGGACCTTGGAAGGTGATGCCTACATGGCTGGTCCTTTGGTCAGAGACAATTCTTCAAACTTCCCCATTTTGTGGCGCCTTCTGAGGCCTATGAGGTTTGGCAGGGGAGGAGTCAAGTTTCACCACTGTTTCTCCCAGGATGTTGCATGCTCTTCTTTTTTTTTTTTTTTTTTTTAAGATTTTATTTATTTGACAGAGAGACGCAGCGAGAGAGGGAACACAAACACAAGCAGGGGGAGTGGGAGAGGGAGAAGCAGGCTTCCCACAGAGCAGAGAGCCCGATGAGGGGCTCAATCCCAGGACCCTGGGATCATGACCTGAGCCGAAGGCGGATGGCAGACGCTTAACGACTGAGCCACCCAGGCGCCCCCCGTGTTGCATGCTCTTCTGGCTGGAAGGGCAGGGTAGGGGGTGGGGGGTAGGGCACAGCCTGAAGGCCCTCCCTGCCTGCTACCTCCTGGGATTCCTAAGGTCCCAGAACCTGCCTCGTTCCCTACTCCATTCTTCCTGGGTTTTGCAGAACTTAGAGAAGAGCAGGCTGCAGCTTCCCGGCCCTGCTGGCCTGCTCTGAATCAGGGAAGTCACCTCCTGGCACCCAGGAGTTGGCAGGGGCATTTTGACCTGACGGGCAGGCCATGAGGGAAGTTCAGCCCCTGACTAGAACCTATAAGTAGCCAGAGAGTGTCATGTGCCTGTTCCCGGGCCTTGCTGCCCTCCCTCTGGCTCCCTGTCCCTCTCACCAGGGTGGAATTGGGGGCTGAGATGTGCCCTGACCTGGAGTTCACCCACCTGTCACCTGGGCCTGGGGCAGGGGCCATGTGGGGATATAGGGCCATCCCAGTGCCGAAGTGGTTAGGACTGTGAGAAGGAAGAACCCCAGAATTTCCAGGCACCCGTTCTTTTTTTCTCATCCAATAGTTTAAAAACTCACGTTGATGCCTGGCTTGCCTCCCTGACCCTACTCCACTTGCCCACTGGTTCCCAGCGGCTTCCTGGGCTAGAAGCTTGGCATGCTGCACCCCACTCCCCCCCCACCCCAGGCCAGGACTAACGGTAGTTTAACCTCTAGGCAGGAGCTGCCCCTGAGGTCCGGCTGACCCCCGCAGAGGAGGCCCAGCAGCGCCTTGAGAGGATCTTCACAGCTTCTGTAATGCCACCTCTCATGTATGGTTCCCCAGGCCCTGGCGCTCCTCTTTGCCGAGGCTGGCAGCCAGACTGTGGGTGTCGGGGAGGGCGGGAGGAGCATCCGACTATGGAAGGATGGCTCCATGGCAGCCTGGGGGCCCTCATGTGGCCTTCTCACCTGAAGGAATAAGAGAAGCGCTTTCTAGAGGGTCTGAGCTGTGAGGCCTGTTCCTCCGGGGGACCCAGAGCCCTGCGCCCATGGGAAGGGACCCCACTTGGCTGAGGATCCAGCCCCCTTTTCTGGCCCTGGAGGACATGGCTTGGTGCCAGGGCCTGGTGGGTGGTAAGGCAGGGAGCTCAGTCTCCCTTCTTTTGGTGCACTGGCTCTCCAGACCCAGTGGGGCCTGTTAACTCCTTATAGGCAAGGTCCAAGGCCTGGCTGACTCCACTTCCTCTTCAGAAAGGTCTTTAAGTAATCAGACAGAGACAGGTCAAGCCTGGCCACAGGGTCTGCCCACAGTCCCTTGGTTCGTGGGCAGGTGGCTGGTGGACCCGGTGGCGTGGTTCCTCTGCTCGCCATGGGGTGGTGTGCCTGTCTGCGAGTGGTGCAGGGCGCAGTGGGGCATTGAGGAAGGGGTCCTCAACTTGGGGCTGCTAGTGGTCTTGTTCTGAGACTTGCTGTATGGTGTCATTCTGCGTAGGGGCGGCAGCTCCAAAGGACAGCCCTTGGCACTGGGGGTGGCATTTTTGTGTGTGTTTAGAGGCCAGGGACAGCCCCGTTCTGGGGTCTGCTGGCTACAGGGGAGTCAGGCTGACCAGTGCCCTGAAGATAAGGCCCAGAGCCACTCAAGGGGCCAGGCCCTGAGTGTGGGGAGGTGGCCTGGCCTGGCCAGCTCATAGAAGAGCCTAGTTCAGGATGCATTAGATGTCCCACCCGGGAGAGACTGTGGCCAGAGGCAGAGTGGCATACTCCTGCCCAGGCCACAGTGAATGACTTAGCAGAGTGTCTTCTCCGAGATGTCTCATAACAGGTGTCTCTTCACCAAGCTGGGCCTCTCCTTCCGGGTCTGGCCTCTCCTTCCTGGACTGGGCACAGTTCACCTGCCCAGGCCAGCTTCCCATCCTGGCACTTGCACCCTGCACCCTGGGCAGCCAGAGAGTACCCACCCACTTGGCCTAAGGTGCTTGCTGAAGGGGAAATGCCAACGGTCTGCTTGTCTTCACCCCTCTTTCTCTCTCTCTCTTCTCTGCTTGCTACTGGCAGCTGGACCCTGAGGACGCCTCTCCTGCCCACAGCCAGGTAGGGTGCTCCTGCCCCCCTCAGGAGCCCTCCGCTTCCTCCAGCGACCACCCGCCACCCCTGGCCCGTACCTGGGCTGGCGTCTGTGCTCGGGCCTCGTGCTGGAGTGTAAGGCCTCTTTCCCCTTCTGGCTCCCACCCGGTGTCTGGGGGTGGGGGGATCCTTGGAGGAGGCAGTGCCAGAAGTTTGAGATGGGGCAGTTCTGTGTCAGGCCCTTGGGGAGGGTCCAGACGGGGTGTCACCACTTGAGTCTGGCCTTGTGGCACATGATTTTTAACCACTGGAGCCCAAGAGCCGGGCAAGAGTTCTGGTTTCTAGGGGTTTCAGGTCTGCTCACTCTGGGTAGAGAAAGCCGACAGGCTGAGCCCCTCCCACCTCCCACGCTCAATGCCCAGGCCCGAAGATGTGGCATTCTCTGGCTCCACCTGCTGGCCAGTATGGGAAACCTATCTTTGAATTCATTCTAAAGGATTACTTCTAGGCCCCGACCCGAGCCTTTGATGTCCCCTAGTTGTTAGGTTCCAAACACCTGACCCCTAAAACGTGTCCATTCGAGACAAAGGTTTTCACTTGTATCATGTGATTTGGGCAAAAAATAAGACATTGTGATTTTTTTTTTTTTACAAAGTTACATTTCTTCAACTAACAGAATTAGCCTTTATTTTTTTTTTTTTTAATGTCTTCATTTAACAATTTAAAATGTTGCCGGCCCCGTAGCGATCGTCCTGTGTGAAGGGTGGTTTCACTGGTCATGATTCCCAGAGCCCGTGTAGTCCAGGCTTCTCTCTTGAACGGGAAAGGACCATCAGCAAGGAAGAGGGAGTTACCTGAAGCCCGGATCCAACCTGGGAGTAGAACCCAGATCTCTTTTTCTTTCAGCTCCAAGAAATGTGACAAAGAAAAGACTTATGTCTCCTTGTCCTTCCCGGTCCCTCACCCAGGGGGTTGGTGACACAAAGCAGTGTCTGCTCCTCAGCCTCAGGTCTCCTCTTAGAGACTGACTGTGGCTCAAGCTGCCCCAGTACCCATCCGCGTGGCGCGCAGGCCTTTCCCGTGCCCTTCCCCGCCCCCGCCCCGCCCCCCGTGTCTGGCCATGCTGTTTCATGCCCTTGCATGGCCTTCGCCTGTCCTCCTGAAGAGGCGTGAAGGAGGAGCGGAAAGAAGGCCAGGCTGAGGCTAGGACTCAGGACCCGCAGATCACGTTGCAGTACAGAGTCCTCCGTAGACACTTCTCTCCTCAGGTCTTGAGGAAGCGCCCCTTGCCAGCTGGGTGAAGGAGGGCCTGTTAGTCGGCTGAAGGCAGAAGCTGGGCATGAGAGGTCACAGTAGCAGCAGGCGGGGGACCAGGGGGCGGCGTGCGGGCTCAGGACACCGACCCTACAGGCCCCACGGGGAGGTGGGGAAGAGGGTGGCTGAAGGTGGAACCTGGTTTGCTTTCTTGTGGTCTGTTCTCTTCTGGGCTCGAGTTCTGAGTGTCCCCGTCCTTCCAGACCCTCCAGGCTGGTGTGGTCCCTAACTCCGTGCCCTCATCCTCGGGGCTCCTCAGGACCACCCCCATCCCCTGGCTTCCCCACCTTCTTCCTGTGACGCCTCCGATGTCCCCTGTTCTGTGTCTGCCCCCCAACTGTCCCCCTTACCCAGGGGCTCATCTGGAAGCCCTTCCCCTCACATGTTTCCTCTCTCCTGCTCTCCTGACTCAAATGTTTTCCAGAACAAGGACTGACTGTTTCCGCCCTCCCTCTGATAGGTGAAGACAGAAGAGCAGATTGCGGTGGAAGAGGCCTGGTATGAGACAGAGAAGGTGTGGCTGGTCCATAAGGATGGCTTCTCGCTGGGTGAGTCTGGGGAGGCCCAGCGGACAGATGTCTGGGCCTCTCAGTTTCCAGGGCTGGGTGTGCCTTGCTGGGTCCGGTGAGGCCTGGGTGGTGAGTGAGGAGGGCCCAGGGATGTAGTGAGGAGGAGGCAAGACCAGGAAGGGCCGGAACAGGGTGGCAAAGGTTCCCAGGCCTGTGTCTGACTGTCTGTCCCCGCGCTGCAGGCAGTCAGCTCAAATCTGAGGAGCTCAGCCTCCCGGAAGGGAAGGTGCGCGTGAAGCTAGACCACGATGGCGCCATCTTGGACGTGGATGAAGATGATGTGGAGAAGGTTTGCAGGTGGCGGGCACAGGAAGTGGGCTGGGCAGGGCAGGCCTGTCCACCGGCAGCGCAGACAGATTCTGCTTCTTCAGTGCCTGCCCGCCCATCCTATCACACAGGCTAACGCTCCCTCCTGCGACCGTCTAGAAGATCTGGCTTCGCTGGTATACCTCAATGAGTCCAGCGTCCTCCACACGCTGCGCCAGCGCTATGTCGCGAGCCTGCTGCACACGTACGCTGGCCCCAGCCTGCTCGTCCTCAGCCCCCGTGGGGCCCCCGCCGTGTACTCCGAGAAGGTGCGGCGACCCCAAGGCTACAATGCTGCCTCACGGACCCACCCATGTACTACCGACCCCACCTTCCCTGGCTCCGCCCCTTCCCCTTGGCATCCCACTGGGCTCCTGTCCACTCTCACAGCTGACCTTGGGAAGAGGAGTCATTTCAGGGGGTGGGGACCCGAGGCCCTCCCCCTAACCTCTAACAGAGGCCGGGACTGGGCTGGAATCTTCATTTCCGTGCATGGCCTTAGCCTCCGAATCCCTCGGCCCCCCTGCAGTGAAAGGCCCGGAAAGGTGGACCTTGGGAGTAAGGGGTGACCGAGTGGGACCAGCTAAGAGCCTTACCCCTTCCCTCCGTCCCCCTCCCACCCAAGGTGATGCACATGTTCAAGGGGTGTCGGCGGGAGGACATGGCACCCCACATCTACGCCGTGGCCCAGACCGCATACAGGGCAATGCTGATGAGCCGCCAGGACCAGTCTGTCATCCTCCTGGGCAGCAGCGGCAGCGGGAAGACCACCAGCTGCCAGCACCTGGTGCAGTACCTGGCCACCATCGCGGGCACCAGCGGGAACAAGGTGTTTTCCGGTGAGACAGGACACCTGGAAAACCTGAGAGGGGTGGGGATGGAAGTGCCTCGTAGGTGCCGTCCATTTTCTCCCTGGTTTCTCTGTGTCCTCAAAACCCCTCTGTCCCGGGGCAGTCTGGCCGGTGTAACTCCGAGCCTCTGCGTGCTGGGGGAATAGGCCTGGGCTGGGCGTCTGGAGGCTTTCCTGATGGCCCCCGGGCGTGTCTCCTGCAGTGGAGAAGTGGCAGGCTCTGTACAGCCTTCTGGAAGCCTTTGGGAACAGCCCCACCATCATGAACGGCAACGCCACCCGCTTCTCCCAGATCCTCTCCCTGGACTTCGACCAAGCTGGCCAGGTGGCCTCGGCCTCCATCCAGGTGAGAGACCTCCAGGGTGGTAAGAGACTGGCTGCCTGGGTTCAGGCCCTAGAAACCAGGCTCTCTCCTGTGCCTCATTTTCCTGGGATTCTACCCCAACAAAATGGACCCTGGCTCTAGCAGGGCTGGTTTGCTCCACTCCGGGCCTTCACCCTTCTGGCCGCCCCCCCACACCCGTGTCTTCTGTCCCCCAAGCCTTCTGCCTCCTGCCCTGGGTGGAGCATGGCTCAGCTTCCTGCCCACCCTTGGGGTTCGCCACACCCTACTTCTGGGGCCCTGTCCCTGTGTGCAGGGGCTTCTCGCAGGCTAATTTCACCCAGGTTAAGACTGGCTCGTCAGTCAAGGAAGGTCCGGCTGAGGCTGGTCCCCTTCCAGGCTAAATGAAACATCTCACCACAAAGCGCCCAGCCAGCTCCCTAAGAAGACTGTGCCGGAGGCCTGGGGAGGGCAGCAGGGCCCCTCCAGGAGCTGGGCCTCTCTTCTTCTGCCTGGCTCCCGTTTCTGCCCTGGATTTGACCCTGGGGGCAGCTGGCCGCTTGTTTACAGCCCCCCTCCCCGTTCTCTCTGGCGTGGGGTGGGCGGAGCTTGACCCAGCCCTACCCTCTTTGCCCATACCTCTCCCATGCTGTGCTGTAGACAATGCTTCTGGAGAAGCTGCGTGTGGCTCGACGCCCAGCTGGTGAGGCCACGTTCAATGTCTTCTACTACCTGCTGGCCTGTGGGGATGGCACCCTCAGGTGAGACGGGGCCAAGGAAACGGGGGGGGGGGTGGGGGCGGTGCTCTGGACTCCAGCTCACTGATGGCTCCTGGATCTTGCCACCTGGTTGCATCCTATCCCGTGTGTTTATTGTATGCGTGCCACATATGAGGCCCGAGGTAACAGGACGGTGAGCCGAATGAGCCACAGGCTCTACCCCAAGGAAGCTCCCGAGCCCTGGGCACAGAATTGACCCTCCAGTGTTCCCGGGGCCCTGCTAGGACCTCTGCTACCCCTGAAACCAGATCTGCAGAGGGGAAAGCACAGCAGGATGCGGGTGGCCAGGGACTTGCCTGTAGTCACACGGCTAGTGTGGGGCTGAGCAGTTGTTGGGCCTTTTTCAGCGCCCTCCAGGCTGGCCCTCCCTGCCCCCTAGGTTGGTTCGTCTGCCTGCCTCTTCCCTTTAGTCCTTCAGACTTTCTGTCCTTGTTCTGCGGGGGGGAAAAAAGATAAGTGATAAGGCTGAGCAAGCAGCCCCGGGACATTTTCCTCCTTAGCTCTTCTGGTCACTGAGGGCACGGGCTCTGTCCTGGCTGGACTCGTGCTGCAGGCAGATTCCTTGCTCTCTTTCAGGGGTCTGGCTAGACACTCTCACCAGAGCATCTCTGGTGACCTGTCCTAGGGAGGCTAGTGCTCTGACCAGGCGTCCAGGCCAATTAGGGAAGGCGGCGGCAGCTGGCCTGACAGTAGGGCATGATGGGCAGGCAGAACTCAGAGTCTGGAAGCTGGATCCGTCTGTCTCCACCCTGGTAGGGAGATGGCCCTTGGCATGGGGACCACGCACCATGCTGATGCCTCATTTGTACCCCTAGGACAGAGCTCCACTTGAACCACTTGGCAGAGAACAATGTGTTTGGGATTGTGCCACTGGCCAAGGTAGGGGCCTATGGGGATGGGGTTGGCAGCCCTGGGCCTTGGGAGTAGGGGCCGCCTCAATGCCCCATTCGAGGAGCAGGATCCCAACTTCCGCCTGGAGGCTCTCCCTAGCCTCACCCTCCCTAGGGCCCAGCAGCACGGGGGCACGCCGGGAGGGACAGCCCCTCTGAGACGCGGGCCCGTCTGTCCCTGCAGCCTGAGGAGAAGCAGAAGGCGGCTCAGCAGTTCAGTAAGCTGCAGACCGCCATGAAGGTGTTGGGCATCTCCGCAGATGAACAGAAAGCCTGCTGGCTCATCCTGGCTGCCATCTACCACCTGGGGGCTGCAGGTGCCACCAAAGGTAACCTGCAGGGGTTCCCGGTGGCGCGGCTTGTCGCCCAGGAGAGCTTGCGGAGGCCCTGCCACTCCGTTCGCCCTCACCCGGCGCGGCCGTCTCTGTTAGCAGATACCCCTCTGTTGCTTGCGCCTCTTCCCAGCCCCCCACCTCGGAGCACAAGGCTCCGAGCACCCGGAGAAGCATCTCTGCCCCTGCACTTGGGCGGCAGTGATGCGGAGCCCTGTGAAGAGCAGGGGGGGGCGGCGGTTCCGAGGCCGAGGGGAAAGAGAAGGGCCCTAGGTCAGAGCAGTCCCCCTGAAATAACTCTCCTTCTTGTTCCCTTCCTGACAGAGGCCCCCGAGGAGCAAGCGGGTAACTGACCTTGGCCCCTCCCTGGGGGGTAGAGGCCGCCTTGTCCCGTCTTGGTGCTGGCCCTGGGCTCTCTCTGGGGACTGGGCTTGCTCTGTCCGAATGGGGGGGACTGGCCTGGGAGGAGCCCCGGGTTGAGCAGGGAGAGGGCGCCTGCTGGCCGTGAGGCTTCTCAGCGTCCCAGGCCTAGCTGCTCTGACTCGTTTTGCCTCCAGATCCTGGGACCTCTCAGGATGCCCTCCGTGGGGGCCTAGATGGGGTAGGGTGGGCTTGCCATCTTGGGGCGTTCCGAGGCCGGTTTTCCCGGAGTCTTCTTCCCTTCCCTTCACCAGTTTGGTAGCCAGGGTCTCTTCCTCTTGCATGGCAGGGTGGAGACCACTAGGGGGCAGCAGGCACTGTGGTAACAAATGGGCTGCAGCTTCTGCACTTGGACTTGGGGGCTTGTGAATGGCTAGAGCTTGGTCTGGCTTCCAAGAGCTTTGCTGCCTTCCTCTGAGATTATGTTGAGGGGCGGGCACTCGGAGCACCTCTTCACCCCTTCCTCCCCTTCCTCAGAGGGCTCCTGCCTCTGAACGGCGCCTTGGGCTTTGGCTGCATCTTCTCTGAGATGTGAAGGGCCCCAGGCTGCTCAGCAGGAGCCAGAAAGCACTGGTGGGTGGGTGGGTGCACAGAGAGGCAGGCGGTTCGGTGTCAGGTTCCTTACGATCCCAGCAGGTGGCATCCCTGCCAAAGAGGAAGCAGGCTCTGAGTTAAAGTTGTCTCCAGACTGTGGAGGTGGGCAGGCGGGTAGGCGTGTGGCTGTGTCTTGAGGAAGTTCTTCCCGTCTGAGGAGGTGACGAGACCAGGTTTCCTATAACCCTGTACTCCGTCAGCACTGCCTGCAAGCACACAGATCTGGGTGTGTCCGCACAGGGACCCTGTTGAACAGGGTCTGTTACCTCCTCAGAGCTTCCAGTATTTTCCAGAGGATGTGTGCACGTGTGTGCACGTGTGTGTATGTGTACATGTGTGGTGTCTTTGTAGGTGTGTGTGTGTGTGTGTGTGTGTGTGTGTCAGTGTGATTACACCCGTAAACATACTCCTTTGAGATTGTGTGTGTGTGCACTTGGGTATATTTTTGCGTCTCTGAGTCTGAATGTGGTTGTGTTTTCTCGCCGGCTCATCCTCACAAACCTCCCCCCCCCACACACACACACCCCACGGTCCCTTCCCGTGGACCTGGCGGGTTCAGTTGATGACTGTTCGCTAACATGCTGTTTTTCTTTGCATGCTGCATGCTGGTCCTTTGCCTTACAGAAGCTGCTGAAGGTAAAACCTTATTTCTTGTTAGCTTTCCCTAATTGCGGTGATTAGACACATGTCGGCTGAGGCACGTCTGTCTGCCTGGGCTCTTCCCTTTCCCCTGTGGCTTCTTCCACTTCCCCGCTGTTGGGCCGTGGGGTGGTGGTGGTCTCCCCTGGCAGACGCCTGGAGGTAAGGGAGAGGGTCCTGCTGCATTCACGGAAGGGGGAGGCACTAGAACTCTCTCATGACGTGTCCCCCACAGGCACACGTGGCTCTTGTGCTCATCACAGGGGGGCTGGCTCATCCCCTGACTGTCCTTCCCCAGGTTGGCACCCCTGAGGCCAAGCCCTCTAGAAGAGAGGTTCAGAGCTGCCTGGGCGCCCTCTGGTGGCAGTGCTGTGGCGTTCCCTCCTCTTTTAGGACCTGTTGTTCTCTCCGCCCGCAAAGGACACAGGCGCTGGCTGTCTCTGTTTTGCCTAAAGCCCCTCCGGTGTCATTAGGGCTGGTTTTAACTCCAGAAGATGCTCGGTCCTCAGTTCTGGGCCATGGGAGCCAAAGGGCACAACAGTCATCAGATGGACTAAGGAGAAAGACCCAAGATGCCAGATCCTTTTTTTTCTACCCCGTAGCTGGGCGCAAGCAGTTTGCCCGCCACGAGTGGGCCCAGAAGGCCGCATACCTGTTGGGCTGCAGCCTGGAGGAGCTATCCTCAGCCATCTTCAAGCACCAACACAAGGGCGGCACGCTGCAGCGCTCCACCTCCTTCCGCCAGGGCCCCGAGGAGAGCGGCCTGGGAGACGGCACAGGTGCCCCGAGCCCCTTGGCTGCTGGATGTGATTGGGAGGCCCCATCCAGGCCTCATTGCTGTCTTCTCTGGAGCGGGGGAGGGAGACTGCTGGGGTGAAGAGATGCTTCCGTCAGAGGGAGAGGCCCAGCCCCAGGGCCCCGTGCTGATTTGACCCTGGGTGGCTAGAGAGCATAAGCCCATGGGGATCCCCAGGGGCAGGAGGTAGAGCGGATGCTCTTGCCCCACAGGCCCCAAACTGAGTGCACTGGAGTGCTTAGAAGGCATGGCGTCCGGCCTCTACAGTGAGCTCTTCACCCTTCTTGTCTCCCTGGTGAACAGGTGAGTGCCAGGCAGGGCCCAGGAGCTGCCCAGCCTCCTGCCATGACAAAGGGGGAGTTGATGGCTCTGTGCTGGTGGGATTGCTGAGGCAGCGCCCTTCTCCACCAGCAGAGGGCTCACTGTCCTCGCGGGCGAGGAGAGGCACGTCCTCCCTACGGGGATCCTGGGCATCTGGGCAGGGATGGAGAGTTGGCTTGGGGCAGAACAGGGCCGCCTGGGCGCCACGGGCAGACCAGTGGGGTCTGTTCGGCGGTACTTCCCTGGCCAGCCCTGACCCAGGCTCTCCCTGTGAAGGGCTCTCAAGTCCAGCCAGCACTCACTCTGCTCTATGATGATTGTGGACACTCCGGGCTTCCAGAACCCTGAGCAGGGTGGGTCGGCCCGCGGAGCCTCCTTTGAGGAGCTGTGCCACAACTACGCCCAGGACCGGCTACAGAGACTCTTCCACCAGCGCACCTTTGTGCAGGAGTTAGAAAGATACAAGGAGGTAGCACTTGACCTTGCCTCTGCCTTGACCAACCCCCAGCCCCTGCCCACCCCCCCACCCCCAGCCTCAGCTTCCTGGCACCCACAGGGAGGACGTGTGTGGAGAGGGAAGGCCCCACCTTCCCTGCTTTTGCTCTCTGGCACTTCTGTCTCCCCGTGCGCCCCGGAGTAGTGGTCTTGTCCAGCCCCAGACTATATCCTCACTGTGTAGAGAGTTTGCTCTCAAAGAAGCTGCAGGCGCGTTCGGGGCCCCTGAGAGCCCCTCCTTGCCCACCCTCAAGGCACCTGCCTAGGCCCCGTGAATTGCCACCGCGCAGTTCCTGCCTCCTTGTGGGTCGGCCAGGCCTTCCCTGGCTCCCTGGCTCCCAGTCTATTAAGATGGTGATTGATCATGTAGGGCCCCTCCATGAAAGGGTGTTCCAGATGGGACAAGAACTAGAAACTCTACCTCGTGGGCAGGTGAGATGAATGAACTGGGGAGGATATTTATCTTGGCTGAGAGAAGATTCAGGAAGCAAATGACAGCAGTCTTCAGGCAGCTCAAGGACGATTGTGTGAAGTCGAGAGTAGGCTTACTCTGTATAGTCTCATCAACTGGTGTGAGTAACAGGAATGGGGGACTTTAGCTCAGTGTTAAAGAAGGTTAGAGGACTCGGGCACCTGGGTGGCTCAGTTGGTTAAGCGACTGCCTTCGGCTCAGGTCATGATCCTGGAGTCCCGGGATCGAGTCCCACGTCGGGCTCCCTGCTCAGCAGGGGGTCTGCTTCTCCCTCTGACCCTCTTCCCTCTCGTGCTTTCTATCTCTCATTCTCTCTCTCTCTCAAATAAATAAATAAATAAATCTTTAAAAAAAAAAAAAAGAAGAAGAAGGTTAGAGGACTCTTAGCTGTCCGAAAAGGCCATGTGGTGCCTTGGGAGGTGGTGAACACTTGTCAGAGGGGCTGCTGGAGGGGAGGAGCTCCTGAGAGGGGTGGAAGGGCCGACTTGCTGGCCCAGCGCCCCCTCCTGGCCTTCAGCCTAGGGCGGCACCCCCTCAAGGGGCCTGCGCTCACTACCCCTCTCCCGTCCCTCCTAGGAGAACATTGAGCTGGCATTTGACGACTTGGAGCCAGCCGTGGATGATTCTGTGGCAGCCGTGGACCAAGCCTCCCATCAGTCCCTGGTAGGAGTTGCAGCGAGGGCCTGGGCTGACCCTTTCTCCCCTTGTCTGTCCCTTCCCCTCAGTCGAGCCCTTGCTGTGTAAGCTACCGTTGCATGGCTGGTCTGGCCCGGAAGGTAGCACTTCCTTCCGCCCTGGTGCAGTGAGAGCTCCAGGCCCCAGGTGTCCGAGCCATGCGGGGGGAGGCATACCTGCCCCCTCCTCCCCAGGCCCTGTTCTGTGCCTGCCTGAGCCTCATGTGTGTCTGCCAGGAGCCTGGTGTCTCCTTCTTGGTGGTGAGGGCTGGGCTGGACCCAGAGGACAGAGTCATCCCTCCCACTGTCCCCAAAAGACTGGTGCAGCCAAGCAGAGTGGGTGAGGCGTCTGTGCAAATAGGGAATGCGTGCCTAGCTCCAAATAGGAGCCCTCACCCCTCAACCTTCGGGGCAGGCTTTGTCACACTTTGGATGAGGATCTCGGGCACTTTGCTGCCTGGGGCCCTGGCTGGCCTGATGAGCACTTGGCATGTGCTGACTGTCTTCAGTTAGGGAAGTTTCAGAAGGCACTTTACTAGAGAATTGGCATTTTTGCTAGGCTGCCGCTCCCCATCTCTGCTTTGACCCCTGCCTCCTTCTCCATCTTCCTTGTGGGCAGGCCCTGCTGTGCTAACAAGGGGATGGGGCCCCAGGGAGAGTGAGTGTCCCCCTGGGACTAGTACTTAAAGTACCCAAGTTCCATGTCCCCCCACCCAGGGAAGCTGGCTTTTCTTTTCCTGACACCTGGGTTCCCAGCTGGCCTCCGTTGAGAGCCTTTGCCATTCCCAGGAGATGTGGGGAAGTCAGTCCCTGTGGCTTAGGAGGGGCAGCATGTCAGCGTGTTTGGATGGGCCTTGGCTATTCCTTGGCTATTCCTTCCCTTTCCTGCTCTCCCTGTCTGATGGACCTCGGCACCTCTGGGGACGGGGGCCCCTGCGTGCCGAGTCTGCCACTCGCTGTCCAGTGGCTTCATTGCCTAGTCCTGCCATGCAGCTCCAGCCACTCTGGGACCTTAGCTCCCCATCTGTCCCTGGCCACATTCAGCTTCCTCCTGGTAGTCACACTGACTCCCTTGGGCAGCCATGGGGAGGGGGGCGATGCAGGCAACTGGGTGCAAAGAGAGGGAAAAACACTTTTCTTACTTCTCTTGTCCCCCCGAGTCCCGAAAGGGCCAGGAGGGAATGGGGTGGAAGGGAAGGTTCCACCCTTCTGGCTCAGGGAAGTCTTGGAAATGCCACGGCAAAGGCCCCTTCAGCCCAGATGCAGCCACAGGTCTAGTTCGTGTGGCCCGCGTAGGGTATTAGAAATCAGAATTCTCTTGGAAAGCTGGAGGCTTTACCAATGCTAGGCCTGTGTTCTTCCGGGACAGCAGTTGGCTGCAAGCTGATGGGCGGCCCTTCCCTGTAGATGAGGACACGTGCTATGCCATCACCCCGACTCTGCCCGTTCCGGCTGTTACATCTCCTAAGCCACCCGTCTTACGGTTTTGGCACTTGAGCTTCTGACCCTGCAGGAGTCCCACCTGCAGGGCTCGGAACCCTCTCGGGGGTCCTCCCTGTCAGGGGGACCAGGCTTGACCCCACCGCTGTCGCTGGCTGAGAGCTTCCTTTGGGCCACGCCCCCTGCCCCGGGGCCTTCCAGAATTTTTATCTCAGTTCATCTGCCTGGGAGGCGATGCCCAGGTTGTGAGAACAACATGGGCTCACCCAAGGCCCTCGTGACTTCCAAGAGGACAAGGATGGTTCACGAGAAGCCTTCAGCCTTTGGTGACTCTGGACACAATTCCTGGGAAGGAGATTTTGCTGGGGGCTTCTCTCTCTAACCTCTGTCCGGCTCCCTCTTTCCCCTTGCTGCCCGGCTGCCCCACAACGTGTCAGCCAGGAGTGACAGGAGCTGCAGTGCGTGTGTGTATGTGTAGCAAGTTTATGGTGTGTGGTTGGGCCAGGGGCTCCGTGGCACACGGTGGCTTTTCTTCGCTTCTCCACAGGTCCGCTCGCTGGCACGCACCGACGAGGCGAGGGGCCTGCTCTGGCTATTGGAAGAGGAGGCGCTGGTGCCCGGGGCCACCGAGGACGCCCTCCTGGAGCGCCTTTTCTCCTACTATGGCCCCCGGGAAGGTGACAAGAAAGGTAGGTGGTACCCCTGGAGGGCTCTTTTGCTTCCTCTCCAGAGGACCCACTTATATGGGTCTAGGCGGTACTGCCTGGAAGGGCTCACTGAGTCCCTGGGCTTTTTTGGGGCCTGTGCCCTGATGATCTGAACCTTCCTTCTCCCCCGCTCAGGCCAAAGCCCCCTCCTGCGCAGCAGCAAACCACATCATTTTCTCCTGGGCCACAGCCATGGCACCAACTGGGTTGAGTACAATGTGGCTGGCTGGCTGAGCTACACCAAACAGAACCCGGCCACCCAGAACGCCCCCCGGCTCCTGCAGGACTCCCAGAAGTAAGAACACCACTCACCTGGCCCATGTCCCGTCCCTGGGGCTGGTTTTGGGCTTCCTGGTGTCAGAGGCCCCCTCGCGAGCAGGGTTGATGGCCTCTGTTTCCTGAGAGGGGACAGCCAAGGCCATTTGGTCTGGAGGGCCTGGGGGTGGCCTCCTGGAGTAGAAGTGGGATGGACACGGTTGGAGGGACCTGTAGTTTGAAATTTGAATGGCACCTCCATGTTCTTCAAAGAAGGCAGGAGTAACAAAAACAAAACAAAACTTTAAAAAATGGGGCGCCTGGCTGCCTTAGTCGGAAGAAGCGTGCAGCTCTTGATCCTGGGGTCATGAGTTCAAGCCCCACATTGGGTGTAGAGATTACTAAAAAAAATAAATAAATAAAGTAAGATCAAATAAAAACTTTAAAAGAAGGCAGGAGTAGCCTTAGAAACCCCTCAGTCACATAAGGCCTGTCATCCATTTTGTTTATTTAGCAGATAATTATTGGGCGCGTACTCTTTTATGTACCTGGCAGTAAATAAAACAAAACTCCCTGCCCAACTGGGGGTGGGGGGAGGCAGATAACAACCAGTAGATGTCATACGCAGATTATATGGTACGGTAGAGAGGGCTGGGCTCTAATCTCTCCTGCCCCCCTGGACCTCGGCCCTCCCTAGTGATGGAGAAGAGATCACACTTCTCCCCCCCCCCCCCCACTGGTTTTCTCTTCTTCCTATTTGTAGATTTCCCTCCAGTTTCTCTCTAGGGTGTGGGGCATGCAGCCCCAGGCCCTTGGTCACGGCCATATGGGGGATTTGGGGGTGTCCTAGGACCTGGGAGGACACCCTCTACTAGTCTCTCAAAGTGACTGCCTTCCCTCCTTCACCCGTCCACCTCTGGTAGGAAAATCATCAGCAGCCTGTTTCTGGGCCGGGCAGGCAGCGCCACGGTGCTATCAGGCTCCATCGCAGGCTTGGAGGGCGGCTCACAGCTGGCGCTGCGCCGGGCCACCAGCATGCGGAAGACCTTCACGACAGGCATGGCGGCTGTCAAGAAGAAGTCACTGTGCATCCAGATTAAGCTGCAGGTGGTGAGTGTGCCTGCCCAGGCCCCATGGCCCTCTCGGGGCTCCTCTGGCCATTCTGGGGAGCACCCGGCTTACCCGGTACCCACTCAGCATCCCCCTCTGCTGGGTCCTCTGTTCCGTGCTGCCACCTGAGTGGCCCCTCGGGCCTCATGAGGGTGGAGCTGCCAGGCTTGGCATGTCTTGGCCAGCGGCAGGACACCTGCCATCCTGCGAGGAGAGGAGATGCTGTCCTGGGCACGGGCCGGGACCCCAGAATCCACCGAGGCCCGTCCCTTTCCCTTTGGCAGGATGCCCTCATTGACACCGTCAAGAAATCAAAGCTGCACTTCGTGCACTGCTTCCTGCCTGTAGCAGAGGGCTGGGGCGGGGAGCCCCGTTCCGCATCCTCCCGCCGAGTCAGCAGCAGCAGCGAGCTGGACCTGCCCTCGGGAGACCACTGCGAGGCTGGGCTCCTGCAGCTGGACGTGCCCCTGCTGCGCGCCCAGCTCCGGGGCTCCCGCCTGCTGGACGCCATGCGCATGTACCGCCAAGGTGGGGCCTCCTTCCGTCTCCACTCCTGCTCCTGTTTTCTGGAGCCGTTCCTGCTCCTCCCCACCTTCCAAATGGGACCCGTGGGGCTAGAGGGGTGCTACTCCCCTCCTGTCTCTGGTCTTGCCCTGGATCTCGTTTCTGCTGTGGTGCCTGCTCGGGGAGGGGCGGGGGTGGAGCGGGGAGCTGGGGGGTGGTCTCTCCAGCCCAGTCTGTTCCTTTCTCTTTTTCTTTCCACCTGGCTGACTCCCTTCTTCCTCCTCTCCCTTCTGTATTCCAGTCCTCTTCACCCCCTCCCCGCCCTGCCCCACAGGCTCTGTTCACACAACCCCCCTCCCCCCTTCCCTGCTCTGCCCACAGCAGCCGACCTGTGCTCACCTAGAGCCTTCCGCTCAGTGACGCTAACTACCTCCGAGAGCAGGCTGGGCCATACCCCCCACTGAGAAATGAGGTGCTAAATCTTTCTGAGGTACTTAAAATTCCCAAGAAAGGTCAGCCAGATCCTTTTTATGGACCCATCTGGAGGAGGGATCGGAAAGGGTGAGAGTAATAGCACAGTTGACCCTTGCCCAACTTGGGTTTGAACTGTGTGGGCCCACTTTACAGGCGGGCTTTTTGTAGTACGGTAGGGTAAGTGTATTTTCTCTTCCTTCTGCCTTCCTTAATAACATTTGCTCTCCCCCAGCTCACTTTACCGTAACAATACAGTATGTCCTACACACCACCTACAGCAATGTGTTATTTGTCGACTGCTTGTGTTATCAGTAAGGCCTCCGGTCAACAGTAGCTTATTAGTTGTTGAGTTTCGGGGGAATTAAAAGTTATATTTGGATATTCGACTGCACGGGGCGTGTAACTCATGTTGCTCAAGGGGCAACTGCTCAACATCATTAGAGCATTTATAGGCTCCCAGGCACCGTTCTGAACTCATCATACACATTACTCTTTTAATCCCCACAGCCATCTCATGAGATGCTGGTACTATGACAGTCGTCAGATGAGGAGACTGAAGCTCAGAGAGGTTAAGTGGCTTGCCCAAGGTCACACAGCTCATGAGTGGCAGAGTGAGATTTGACCCACGTGGAGCAGCTTCCGAGTTCATGCCTCTCGAGTGGGGTTTCGTTTGCCTGAGAAGTTATAGGCTGCCAGATTTCTGTCCTTTTTTGCTTTGATAGGAGAACTGGCAGGATCCTACCCGCCCATAGCCAGGTCCTCTTGAGGCACCCCCATGGACATCATCACTTTTCCTTAGCAGTCAAAGCCGCAGAACAGGCTCCCTGCCCTGCTCGAAATAAGTCATCGATCTGTCCCCACGTCTTGATATGGAGTTGGTGTTTATTATTTCAAAACCAGACTGTTACCGCTCTGAACCGAAATCAATGTGCTTTACTCAAACAAGCAGATCGATGAGGCCAGCAGCAGCAGGCCCCCCTCCCCTCGCCCAGCCCCCAGCCACCATCGATAGCGCTGATGATTAATTAAGATGCCAGGCGTCCAGACCTGCTATCCTGGCCCATCAATTTAATTGCAGTTCAGATACAATCAATAGCTCACTTTGTCTTGGCCCCTCAGCGGCCCCCGCCTCCTGTTTCAATTATCGGGCACATGCATCAGCCTCCTCTCCCAGTTGGAGGGTTTCCCAGAGCTAGTGAGGCTGGTGTCGTGGAGGGAGCCCCCGACGGGCTCTCGAGAGCCCGGGTTTGGAGTCCAACTCTGCCTCCAGCTGCAGCCTTTGTGACCTTGAGCCAGCCCGTCAGTCCACCTCTTTGGCCTCAGTTCCCAGGCCTGGAAGATGAGTTGGATCTGGTCTTAAGACCCCTTTTCGGTTTGAAGTTCTGTGAACGTGTATGAGTGGGTCTCTCAGGCCTCCACTGTGGTGGTGGGCGCTCTGGTGCCCTCAGGTGGCTCAGGATGACCTCCTACCAGCCACCATCCCGACCTTGCTCCAAGCCTGAAGCCATCTGACCTTTGTCCTGGCCTCAAGCCTATACAGCAGGGAGGTCTCTGCTCGAGGTAGTGCTCTTCAGGGAAAGAGAATCTAGAAGTCTTTGGGTCACCCGGCCTAGGGCTCAAGGTCAGGATGGGAGCAGGAAGGGTACCCCTTCCGTATTCTGCTTCAGGGGACTGGGGAAAGGAAGGAGCATTTTACTGAACACCCACCACGTGAGCCAAGCCGTGCTTTCCACATATTTTCTCATTCAAACCCCATGACTACCGTGCAAGGTAAGCGGCAGGTCCCCCCTTGAAAGATGAGGAAAGCAAGAGTCAGAGATGTTGAGTGACTCGTCACATGGTGCCAAGAGCCGGGGCCGGGATTCCGACCCCAAGCCCCTTTTCCTCTCGGCTGCTCTCTGTGGCCCATTTTTCTTTTTCCTTGTTAAGTCCTGAAGACACTGTTCTTTCTGGGTATAGCAGAGTCATAGACTTGGAGGCTAGAAAGCATCTCTCTTCTCCATAGCATCCCTTCCAGGTGGGCAGCCGTCCCCTGTTCGCACACCTCACTGACAAGGCACTTGCTTCTAAAGGAACCCGTTCCCACTGTAACCGTGCAGCCCCGTGGGAGGGCAGCCCTAACTATCCTGCAGACTCCTGTCCCGTACCCCTGCCTCTTCCTCCCGCACCTCCTTTCCCAGGTCTGCCTCAGCCTCAGGCTCTCCTCCCCCAGCAGCTTCTGCCCTTTCCGGTAACTGTGTCCGAGTGTGAACTGGCTCTGGGCTGCCCTCTCTCTAGGTTACCCTGACCACATGGTGTTTTCCGAGTTCCGCCGCCGCTTCGACGTCCTGGCCCCACACCTGACCAAGAAACATGGGCGCAACTACATCGTGGTGGATGAGAGGCGGGTAGGTCTGGGCCCCAGAGCCCTACCAGACCCCCTTCCTTCTGCTCGGACCCCTCCGAGCAGCCGCCCCTCCCTGCCTAGAGAGAGCCCGGCTGGCCCGTGCTCCTGCTCCTGGTTTTGGCCACCCGGGGCCAGCACAGGGGCGCGTGGCAGCCAAGCTGGGATGGTGGGGAGAAGGCAGCCTGGGGTGTGGCCCGTAGGAATCAGAGAAGACTCACCCTCTTTGGAGGCCAGAGTTGGGGGTCTCCGCTCTCTGGTGAGCTAGCCATCTAAGAGCCTCCCAGGAGGCAGATAAGAGCTCGTGTTTTAGGGGTTACCACTGGTATCCCCTGGGCCCTTCGGCCTTAACTTCCACATCAGGGATGGTTCCTGCAGCAGGAAGCTGTCCAGGGGTGGGGCAAGCATCCCTCCTCAGGGCAAGATTGATATGGCAAGACCTTCCGGTGCCAGGGTAAGCTGAAGGCTCCCAGGCCCCTTGTCAGCACAGGTTGCTGAAAACAGGGCTGTCACCACCCAGAGGCAGCTCCTCAGAGAGCCAGAGGGCTCCTTGAGCAGAGGAAGCCTCCTTCCCCCGTGCTCTGGCCTCAGGCGCCCGGCCTGACTCTGAAGGCATCTCAGACCTTGGGATGATTTCCCTAAGAGGGAGAATGCTCTGCAGAAGGGGGCAGAAAGCCCCCTTCCCCTTGCCTCCTGAGTCACAGGCCCACATTCCTGGAGGCCTCAAAAACTTCTCTCCATCCAGGACCTGCCAGTGTCCTGGGCGACCTTGGTGTGCGTGTAGATGACCCACCCCACAACCCCCTTCTCTCTGACCCCTGACTTTTATTCCAGCCTCCCACTCACAGCTACACCCAGATCTTGTCACCCCTGGAAATGCTTCACCTCGGAAATCTTCAATTCCATCATGGCCTTCCCTGCCCACAGCCTCCTAACCTGTGCACCTCACTTCTCTCCTCCTCTCAGGACACCTGCTCTTTGACTCTGTTGAGACCTCTCATGTCTGGACCCCACTGCGTTTTCTCTGCTCTGTCCATTCCCTTCTGACTTTCTTTTCTTCTCGCCTCAATGCCACGGTCCTGCCCTCCGGTCACTTGGCCTTCATCACCCTCAGCTCTCCTGTGCCTCCTGGGGCACCTGCCCTGCCCAACCCCCACACTGAAGGGCCAGCCTCCGGGCATCTGTGCTCCTCGGTTTGGGTTTCCCAAGGGCTAGGGGAGAAAATTACACAACTGGGTGGACTTGAAGTCCTACAGGTGCATGGTCTCCAGCCTCAGCTGGGCCCTTGCCATGGCCCAGCATGTTTCTCATATGCCCCATCCTTCCCTGGCCCCTATTCCAGGCTCCCTCCCTGCTGTTCTGTTCTCCGTCTTTCTCCTCCAGTCCCCTGCTACCCTGCCTACCCAGGCCATCTGCCCAGCAATTGACCTTGCCTCTAACCGGTCATAAAATTGAGGCTCCAACTTCCTCCACTGCCTTGTGGACTCTTGTCTTCGGGTGCCTTCTTGCTCAGCCCTCCTGTCTGGCTGGGAGGGGTGTCCCTCCCCTCGACCAATCCCTTCCTCCTGTGCTTTGGAATCCATTCCCCGGGGGCTCCCTGGAGGCCCGCTCCATCCGCGCTAACTGTTCTCTCTCTCCCATTTCTTCTTCAGCCTCTCCTCCGCTGGCTCTTTCCTCTCAGCGGAAAAACATCCTGCAGATAGTGTGCTTGGAAAGGAGCCTCCCATCAACGCTCTCTCACGCCAGACAGTTGTCTGTCGCCCGCCTGCCCCCTCCCCGCCGCCGCCACCCGTCCCTCCGCCCCGCCACCCTGGGCCCGGTCTTCTGTCGCCCATCGAGCTAATGGCCACCTTACTGTGCTTCTTGGCAACATCTGACTCTCTTGACAGCTCTGTTCTCTGCTCAGCTTCCTTGCTGCCATTCCTGGCTTTGCCTTTGTCCCTCCGAGCATCCCTTCTTCTGCCGGCCCCTGAAGTAAAGGTCTCTCTCTTCCTTAAGACGCTGTCCTTGGCCGTCTGTGCTTTCTAGTCTACAGCCTCTCCCCGGCCAGCCTCATTCCCACCCATCGCTTCAATTACCACATACCTATCGACGACTCCTAGATCAATACCTGTAGCCTAGGCCTCTCTCCTGAACCTCAGACGTGCATTTCTGTCTGGCCGCTTTCTGGACTTTTCTACCTGCATGCCTCAAACTCAGCACGTTCAGACCACACCGATTCCATCCCCTCCCCAACCTACTCTGGCTCTTCCGTTTCCTGCCTTGGGGAGTGGCACCATTATCTGTTTAGCTACATAAGTGAGAAGCCCCGGTGCCGGGGTGTCCCTCGATTCCTCCCTGTCGGCTGCCCTGCCCCCTCTATCTCCTTCACATCTCTGGCACTTCCGCCTCTTTCTTCCCTTTGGGTCAGGCTCTGGCCTTCTCTCCTCTGAGTTCCTGCAGTAGCTGCCTGAGGGGGGTCTCCGTCCATTCTCCCCTCATGTGCCAGGGGGGATCCCTGGAAAATGCAGATCCGATCCTGTTCCTCCTTGACCGAACCCTCCAGGGGCTCCCAGCGCACGCGGGCGCCCCACTCTTTGGCTGCTGCCCACCTTTCTAGTTGTACCTTAACCGTCCTCCCCCCTTCCCTCCTGAACTACCTGGTTTCCTCAGCCCTTTCTCTTGTCTTGTGCTTCCATGCCTTTGCTCGCGCTCGTCCGTCTGCCCGAAATGCCCTCTCCCCAGCTTTGGCTAGTTCTTCCTTGTAACTGAAGACTCGGCACAAGCTACACCCCACCTCCTCCAGGATGCCTTTCAGGGTCCCCTGTGTGACTTAGGTGCCTCCTCCTCTGTGTACTTCACGAATTCACTTGTCTCCCTCCCCAGCAAAGACAACTTATTGCTCTGATAGTCATCCTTACGTCCCCAGAAACTAACCTAGGGCCTGACAGTGTGGAAGCCCCCACCGAAAGTGCTTGTTGAATGAGTAACAGACTGCCTCCACGGAGGCCCAGGAAGGACTCGTGCCTGGGCGAAGCCCTGCGTGGAGACGGGGGCGGCCCCTGGCCTCCCTGACAGCGGCGTCTCTCTGCAGGCGGTGGAAGAGCTGCTGGAGTCCTTGGACCTGGAGAAGAGCAGCTGTTGCCTGGGCCTGAGCCGGGTGAGTGGTCACTGCAGGAGGGCGGTAGGGCCCGGCCCTCACTCTGGTCGCCCTGTCCCAGTGGCTGGCCCTCCCCTTCTGACTTCCCTCCCTCTGAATAACCGACTCATTCAGAGCCATGAACACCCCTGTGACGTCGGGAGGGGGAGTGGGTTGGAAGGTGGCCCTGAACTTGGCCTGAGTCCCGGTGTGGGGAGTGGGGAAGACAGAAAGGAGGAAAGCTGGACAAAGCAGGAAGGCAGTAGGCAGAGTGTTCCAGAGGCGCCCCCGCTCCCGGGGCTGCCAGGGTCCCAGAAGGGCAAGCAGGATGCGGTAAGGCTGTGCTCCCACCACCTGCCCACAAGCCCAGTTCCTCACCTGAATGGAACGTGGTGTCTGAAGGGCAGGCACGCCTGGGCCCAGGTGCCAGTCTGCTGCATCACTCCACGCCAAAGGGTCAGGCGAGCGTCCCTCCCACGGGCAGGAGGCCTGCTCTCCTCTCTCTCCTCAGACTGGAAGCCTGGACGGGTGGCTTCCACGTATGTGCTCCAAGGGCCGTGGTGGGAGGGAGGGTGTTTGGGAGCCAAGGAGGGGATTCCGAACCTCTCTCCACCTGTCAGCAGGGAAGGAGGGACCTCCGGGTGCCGGGGCTTCGTGGGGAGTGTGAGGTGGACGCGGATGCTCGCAAAAAAAGGCTTGATGTCGCTTGTCCGCTCTGTTCTCTCGTTCTGTCTTCCGAGTCACAGTCTTGCCCCTTCGCTTTCGCATCCCCTGGCTGTATCTTTGTCTCTGCTGGTTCTCCCCTCTCCTTTTGGCCCTGGCAGTTCCTGGCTCTGTCATTTTCTGTGTCTTTCCTTGTTCTCTGGGTGTTCTGTGGTCTCATTCTTTCCGTGTCATTTTTCTGGGTTTGGTCTCTTGCTGGGTCTGACTCAACCTCTCCCCATCCCCAGCTATCTGTCAGCTCAGGGGCTGCCGGCTGAGCTTCCTCCCTGGGAAGCCTGCTGTCAGAGGCTTCGCTTCAGCCTCTCGGTCTCTTGGGCGGGCTCCTGCCCCTTCAGCAGGCTGGGCTGCTGCTGGCTGGCACTGGGGTGGCACCTCCTCCAAGGCATGTCTTGGGCAGGAGAGGGCCTGTACAGGCTGGTCCTCTTGCCAGCTAACATCTCAGACCCTCCGCTTCATCCCAGGTGCCTGGCCAAGGCGGACAAGCCGCAGGGCCCACTCAAGCTCAGAGAGAAATTAGGGGCAAAGTTGGATGTTTGCTCACATCTGATTTGGGAGAGAAATTTCGGGGCCTCTAGGCTGTGGTTGGACTGGCTGGTGAGCAGAGATTCCGTGTGTTCGTCGTATTGCTTCAGAGGAGGGGGTCGCAGTCTGAGCCCACGGGACCCTGAGGGTTCGGGCAGGGTGTTGGAGGATCTTGAGAGCCTCCTGATATTGTTTGTAAAATTTGTATGGATGAGTCTGTTGGGGAAGGAGAGGGCCCTGAGCTTTCACCCAATACTCAAAAGGACTCTTAACCCCACTAAGGTACAGCTGCATGAGAGAGGTCTCAGGCTCCCCACCCCAGTCCTGAGGCCATCTTCTCTCTTCTCATTGTGAGACACTGAGAATGGGGGCCACTCTCCAGCCCCTAACCTGCCACCTCCCTTCTCCTGCCTTCGTCAGACCAGCTATGTGCCCTGACCACTAGCCCCTATGTCTGCCTCCTGGGGGATTTGGATATTGCCCACCCCCTGGTGGAATCTCAAGCTCACACATTGTGAGAAATCAAGGCGCGGGTAGGGCTTGAGGCCCATGGGAGACCCCAGGCACTCAGTGCGAGTGTGGGATTTGGGGAAGTAGGCGTTGCTGAGGACCTGAGCTGGCTTTCTCCTAGGCCAGCCCCAGGGGACTAGGTTTCTGTGCAGTCACCAGAGGCAAAGCTTTCTCAGCAGAAAGTGTAGGCTTTCTCTCCACTTATTCCCTGAAGGGAGGCCTAGGGACACTGTACAGACTGGCTCTGAGTGTTTCCCGTGCTCTTTGCCCCACAGAAGGGAATTTTCTGTGTTCTGGGCAGGGTGGAGGTGGGCACACACCTAGGTGTCTCTTTGCCCTCTGTGAGGATCCCAGAGTCTTCTCTCATCTATGTATTTCCCCCTCTTCTCTTAGCAGGGAAGACTTTACCCAGCCCCAGTTCAGAGCACCAAAGAGCGAGAGGAAATTCTGGCTGTGGGGGCGCCCAGCTGGTTCCTCTCCCGTCTGCCCTCCAGCCCCCAAACCTGTAGGACAGGTCCCTTGATTGGGCCAGCCCCCGCCCACCCCCCTGGCTTTTTTGTGAGCTGAAACCTGGGTGTGTGTGTGTGGGGGTGGGATGCTGGCACATGAAAGAGGAGGCTGTCTGAGAGGAGCCGGAGTGGGGAGGGGGCCCCACCCTTTCTGTGCACACGGCTTCTGGAACTTTCTCTCCTCACACACATTCACCCCCATCCACTTGGCCTGATCCCAGGCAGCTGGCACCTGCGGTTGGGCCCTCCGGTGGGCTGTGGGCATAGGGCGCACGGACAGTGTTGCTGGCGGTCCTGCGGGAAGAAACCACCATAGATGTTGCTGAGGGGTGTCCTGTTCCCCATTTGACTGTGGCTGCTTTATGCCCACTTGTCCCAGATACCTTCCCTTTGACTTCCCTCTCCTTTTAGCTCTCTTTGAACTTAGGTTTCCCACCTTACTCCTCCTCTTCCGGAGAAACCTCCCCAGCCCCTGGCCTGGGCCCCCTCCCTCAGCCTTACTGGGGCCTCTCCTTGCTCCTTCCCTCCTCTCTTGTTCCCTTGGATTTTCAGGTTCTTCCCAGGGCCGAGGACCACCTCCCCGGCCTGCTGGTGTCCTGTGCCCCCAGCCCATCTCCCGCCTTCATCTGGCCTGCTTCCCCACAGGTGTTCTTCCGGGCCGGCACATTGGCTCGGCTGGAGGAGCAGCGGGATGAGCAAACCAGCAGGAACCTAACCCTGTTCCAGGCGGCCTGCAGGGGCTACCTGGCCCGCCAGCACTTCAAGAAGAAAAAGGTGCTGTTCCAGGGTATCTCTGTCCCACTCCCCAGCCTAGATGGCAGAGCAGAGTTCCCGGGGTGGGGTGGGGGGTTCAAGGGAACATGCTGGGGCAGGAGGCTGGTCTTGGGACCAGGAGTTATTGTCAGCTGGGGGAGAAGAAGCAGGGACCTCCCGGGGCCACCATGCCCTGGGCCAGGGTGGGGAATGGGCAGCTCCTTGGTGCCAGCGAGCGTGCTGGTGATGCCCAGCACTGGGGCCATGGGGCCTGGTCCTGGGGCTCGGAGTGGGGGGCAGCGCCTAGACGAAGGTGGGCTCTGGATCACAGGCTCCTCCATGAAGATTAAGGAGCTATGTCAGCGACTCCTTTTCTTATTAGTAAGTCCATAAAACAGCCAGCACCACCGCCTCTTGTGTTTCAGCAAGATTAGGTTTTATAGCACATCGAGGCCAGGGTGCTGGAAATAATCAGGCAGCAAATAAAGCAGATGAAATTATTCCTAATGATGGCAGAGCGGTTAGTGCCCGGTGCGGTGTTCCCAGGGCTAGGCTCTCTGCCGCCCACTCTCGGAGGGATGGGGAGAGGCTGGGAGCGAGGGCTGGGTGGCCAGAGGAATCAGGTGGCCAGAGGAGCAGGGGGGTCGGGGAAGTCCTGGTTGGGCTTGGGCCTGAGAGCCCTGCTGTGCATCACCCTCCCCCCCCAACTTAGATCCAGGACCTGGCCATTCGCTGTGTGCAGAAGAACATCAAGAAGAACAAAGGGGTGAAGGACTGGGCCTGGTGGAAACTCTTTACCACTGTGCGGCCCCTCATCGAGGTACAGCTGTCCGAGGAGCAGATCCGGAACAAAGACGTACGTAACAGCTCAGGAAGGGCCAAGTCGTTGGAAAAGGACTAGTTCATCCCTGTGGGCAAAAAGTCTTGCTGGCTTGTCTTGGGCTCCCAAGCGCTCTTTATTTAGTCCAGAGAGCCGATGTCCTTGAACGATACCCGTCAAAGAGAAGGCATCTCTCTGGGGCGCTGGCTAAGCTGCTGGGTAGCCTCTTGGTATAAAAATCTCAGGCGTCCTCAGCATCTGGGGAAGGGTCTAGGGATAGGAGCCCCTGGGAGGCAGGGGCTTCCTATTCCCTGTGTCCTGGCCCAAGCTTCACCGGCTTCATTCACCCCAACGGTGCAGAGTCCAGGCGCCAACCTCTCACAGAGCCTCCGGCTCACTTTGCCCTCTTTACTGCACCCTAGGAGGAGATCCAGCAGCTGCGGAACAAGCTTGAGAAGGTGGAGAAGGAGCGGAACGAGCTTCGGCTCAACAATGACCGGCTGGAGACCCGGGTGAGTGACTCCCAGCGCCAGGCCGACTGGCCCACCCGTGCAGGGTGCCAGGCCCAGGAGGCCCCCCTGGGGTTCCAGCTGAGCGAGGCAGGCATTTCAACTGGTGGCGACTCCCTCCCCCCAACCCCAGATCTCGGAGCTGACATCGGAGCTGACTGACGAACGTAACACGGGAGAGTCCGCCTCCCAGCTGCTGGACGCGGAGGCCGCCGAGAGGCTCCGAGCCGAAAAGGAGATGAAGGAGCTGCAGGTGAGGGCAGGCCCGTGCTAGTGACCACCACCGCTCTGGTGTCCATCTGCTCCACCCACCCCACCCCCCCGCCTCCGCCGCCAGGGACAGGTGGCCCAGCACCCCTGTCTGCCCGGGGGGAAGCACATGCCCGGGTCTGCGTGGCTGCGGGCCGTGGCTGGTCCTGAGGGAGGGACTGGGATGGCAGCCTCACAAGCCTCCCTTCTGCAGACCCAGTACGATGCGCTGAAGAAGCAGATGGAGGTGATGGAGATGGAGGTGATGGAGGCCCGCCTCATCCGGGCAGCTGAGATCAACGGGGAGGTGGATGATGATGACACAGGTGGGTCTGAGGCTGGAGGAGCTCGGCAGGGCCTGAGCAGCAAGCTCGGTACCACCCCCCGCTGCCCGGGCAACCACAGCTGGGCCCCGGCCTGCCTCCCTTCTGCGGGCTGGTACCAGGCTACGGTGACAGAAATAGATGAGAAAGTAGAGGTGCCAGCAAGCGCAGGAGGTTATCATGGAGGGCCCCGAGAGCCGTGATAAGGACGGGGTCTGAGGGCCACGGTCTGGTGGTCCCTGGGGAGAGGACAGCACACATAGCCACATGCCCTCTCTGGTCTTTTCCCGGCTTGGGAGGAAGCCGTCCTCCCAGAGACCTTCCTGAGTCCCTCTGGCTGAGGCCGCCTTCTGCCCCTCCCTGTCCCATCCTTCCTTCCCTCCGCTCAGTGCTCCCTTGCCTGCCCCCCCCCCCCCAGGCGGCGAGTGGCGCCTGAAGTACGAGCGAGCCATGCGCGAGGTGGACTTCACCAAGAAGCGCCTCCAGCAGGAGTTCGAGGACAAGCTGGAGGTGGAGCAGCAGAGCAAGAGGCAACTGGAGAGGCGGGTGAGGCTGGGGCAAGGAGTGCGGGCCGGGGCTCTGGGAGCACCTCGGGGCTGGGGATGCCCAAGGGCGAACTGTTGTTGGGAGTGTGTTCGGGTCCCTGCGTGTCTCTGACTCCATCCCTCATCCCGGGATCTCTCCCTCGCTCGCCCCCCCCCTTCTCCACGCATGCTTCCGGGCCTCTCCCTGGCTGCTGACCCCACACCCTGTCTGTGCCCTAGCTCGGGGACCTGCAGGCAGACGGTGACGAGAGCCAGCGGGTTCTGCAGCAGCTGAAGAAGAAGTGCCAACGGCTGACGGGCGAGCTGCAGGACACCAAGCTGCACCTGGAGGGCCAGCAGGTCCGCAACCACGAGCTGGAGAAGAAGCAGAGGAGGTGGGTGGGTCCCCTGCCCCAAGGCACACGAGACTTCCTAGACCAGCCCCAGACAGGGCTCCCTGCCTCCTCCTCCTCCGGGGAGGAGAGAAGGAAGGAGGGCCTGAATTTGGCCGGGGGCCTTGGCGACGTGGTCCCTTGGCCTGGAATGCGAACAGGTCTCACTCCCGACCTCTGAGAAGCCCTCAGGCCCCATCCCTACTGAAGGCCTGCTCAGGCCTGCTCAGGCCTGCTCAGGCCTGCTCAGGCCTCGGCCCCGGACCTGCTACCCGTAGCGTATGCCCGTCACCCTGCCTGGGCCCAGCAAGGACGAAGCTTCTACCAGTCCCCGTGCAGAAAACACTTGTGCCCCCCCCCTGCCCCTTGCCCCCACCCAGCTCGCCATGTCTCGCTTGCCTCAGCCACACAAACACACTCTCCTGACTAATGTTGTTGAACTGCCGTGCCACTTCCATCTCATTATGGTAATGACACAAAGGAGGGGGGCAGCCCTCACAGGATCAGATCCAATCTAAATTAATTTCCCTGGCTGGGGATGGGAATGGGACGCCTTTATTAGCAACACCGGGGAACCCACACACCCTGGGAACAGCAGGGTGCCCCAGGGAGTGGGAAAGAGCGCCTGGTTCCCCTCTGCAGGGGAGGGCTTCTCGGCAGAGGCCCCGGGCGCCTTCATGAAGGGACAGCCCCACACCCACGACCCAGGGGGTGAGCAGGGCAGAGCTGAGTCCTTCCGGTGACCCCGGGTGACCCTCGGCCTCCTGGGCACTCTGCTGTCCTCCCAGCTGGGTGCCGCCTGCAAAGTGAGGGGAGCTGGGAGGTCTTAGGCCTCCCTTCCGGTACCGTGCCTCTCCGCCTTTACCCCCACCCTCCCGTTCACTAGAGGCACCCTTAGTGGGACCCCTCTCCCAAGTCCCCCGCCCCCATGACAGTGCCAGCCTGGCCTAGTTACCATCTCCCGCACGCCCTGCTGGGCAACTCATTAGCTTTCATTTCAGCTGCCCGGAGTTTGCTTACCTTTTTTTTTGATGTGGGTTTGGGTTGGGGGGAGCCTTTCAGTTTTCGAAGGGAACCTTATCAGCTCTTTGGGGAAGGTGTTAAGAGGAATTTCAGCAATTTGCTCCTTATTTAGAGTCACTGGGTGGGGGAAATAGGAGACTGGGAGGTAGAGGAGCCAAGAAAGAGGCCCCGACTGTGGACTGTGGCCCAGCAGGACTGCTGGCTTCTGGCTGGGAGGGGTGCGGGGTCCTGGTGGGGACGCGGGTACTGCTGGGCCACGTGGCCCTGGCCAGGGGCCGGCACCCAGAGGTGGGGGCCAGAGCCAGCTGCTCATCTGGAGTGGCGAGGTGGAACTGTGGAAAGGAGTTAGACGAGGCAGGGCGTCCGTTTCTCCCTCTTCCGGTGCCCACCCTGCCCTCACCCTGGCCCCGCAAGCTCTGGTCTGTCGAAATGGGAAAGGTCAAGACAACGATGGAGCGGGGTCTGTCCACCTCTTCCCCAGAAGCGGTCTGTGGGCCCCTCCTCGACTCACCTAGTGCAGGGGCTCCTAGGGCCCCCTCAGTGAAACGCGCCCCCGTCCCAGACTGGGTGGCTAGCAGGGCCTCGATGGCCTGTGATCCTGCATGTCACCTCACCGCTGCCCCCCACTTCCGGGCTATGCGAGGGGTCCCCCTCTGCTTGTGTCCTGTCCGTACCCATGGCCCTGCTTCCTGGCAGCCTCTGGGTGCTGGAGACCCAGACTCTTCCCTGCCCTGGTGGAGCCACCCTGGCTGTCCCTGCGCCCTCACAGGTTCGACAGCGAGCTTTCCCAGGCGCATGAGGAGGCCCAGCGGGAGAAGCTGCAGCGGGAGAAGCTGCAGCGGGAGAAGGACACGCTCCTCGCCGAGGCTTTCAGCCTCAAGCAGCAACTGGAGGTGGGTGGGCCACCCGTCATCCGTGCCCCGTCTGCTCCCTCCCGCCTCAGGCAAGAGCTGGTCCCAAGGCCAGCCTCATCTTCTCTTTTGCTCCAGGAAAAAGACATGGACATTGCTGGATTCACCCAGAAGGTTGTCTCCCTGGAGGCTGAGCTCCAGGACATTTCTTCCCAAGAGTCAAAGGATGAGGCCTCTCTGGCCAAGGTCAAGAAACAGCTCCGGGACCTGGAGGCCAAAGTCAAGGATCAGGAGGAGGAGCTGGATGAGCAGGCGGGGACCATCCAGATGCTGGAGCAGGTGCCGCGCAGGGTCTGGCCGAGGGGGGCACCGGCCATCCCCACAGCTAACCCAGGGCGTAGCCAGAGGGGGGCAAGTTCCCACGTGTAGTCACTCGGTCGTTCCCTTACTCACAAAATGTTGAGTGAGCACCTGATCTGTGCCAGACACAGTGTGAAAATCATGATGCTTTTGTGTGGCTTTCCACAAGAACAAATCTGGATTGAGCTCTAGTGGTGAGGGGCTCAGGCTGCCCGGCGGCCGGAAAGCCACGAGCCCACGCGGCCTGCCGCTGAGCCACCGTGTCAGTTCGGAGAGCTAGAGCCTGAAGGCCAAACGGAAAAGCTGCCCAACTGCCCCCACCTCTGGCAGCCTGCTCTGGGCCGGCATCAGACATCCAATGAGAGGGGGGTTGGCTTCTCTGGAGAAGCCGGCTGCGGCAGGAGCAAGGCGTGGGCTCCGGGAAGTGTGCTGGCAGAGATACTCCCTGCTCCCAAGCCCTGGGAGAGCTGTCCATCAGGGCGCAGTGGGCAGGGGTCAGGGGTGCTGCTCAGAAAGGAACCTGGTCCCTCCCCACAACCACCTCCAGGCCAAGCTACGTCTAGAGATGGAGATGGAGCGGATGAGACAGACCCATTCCAAGGAGGTGGAAAGTCGGGATGAAGAGGTGGAGGAGGCCCGGCAGTCATGTCAGAAGAAGGTAACAGGTCCAGTACGGACCCTGCTTCCCCCATCACTGCTTTAAAGTAAGGGGTTTTCTGGTTCCCTACCTTAGCCACACTACCACCCATGCCATTCTGGACTGGAGATCCTGGCCTTGGCTGGGATGTGTGCCCTCGGGGACTATATAGAAAGCTCGTCCTTTGAGGGACGCATGCTCCCTGCTTTCTGGGCAGTCAGCGAGGCTGGCCCGGCAGGGCCCTGCCCACTCTGGAACAAAGCCTCCCGCTCTGGCGTGGGGCTCTGGTGCACGGCCTGCCATCCCTCCTCCCCCTCCCAGGCTGCTTTGAAACCCTGGGAACTTTGAATTCGGGGTCTGCTCAGCCCGCCCCACAGCTTTCCCAGGGTCGGGGTGGGGAGATCCAGAAGGGAAGGGGTCCGGCTGGCACCCGACACTGAAGGGACCGACGGTCCTCTGTCCCCACGGCCCTCCAGTTGAAACAAATGGAAGTGCAGCTTGAGGAGGAGTACGAAGATAAGCAGAAGGTGCTGCGAGAGAAGCGGGAACTGGAGAGCAAGCTCGCCACGCTGAGTGACCAGGTGAGCGGAGCCTGAGGTGAATCTCAGGGATCCTAAGCTGGGCAGAGGTGAGGGGGGCCGGGCTCTGTGGAGCCCACTGTCTTCACATGGAGAATGGGGGTCATTACCACACAGAGCACACCCTGGCTTCTCTCACTGCCTGGCCTGACCCCGGCACTGCCTCTGTTGTTGTGTGTTCGGGGGGCTCTGAGAATGAGAGCAGGGGTGGACAGCGGGCGTGGGGAAGACAGGAAGAGGCTCCGTGGTGGAGGCCAGAACCCCAGCTTCTGCCGTGCACCTAGGTGAGCCGGCGGGACCTGGAGTCCGAGAAGCGGCTCCGGAAGGACCTGAAGCGCACCAAGGCCCTGCTGGCCGACGCTCAGATCATGTTGGACCACCTGAAGAACAACGCACCCAGCAAGAGGGAGATCGCCCAGCTAAAGAACCAGGTATCTGGACAGAGAGGCGGTGGTCAGCTCCAGGGGGCAAACCACGCTTACGGTTTTAGTTCTTTCTCTTGAGTCCTCACCTAAGTTACCTTACCTGAGAAGGAAGGTAACGGGAGGGGGAGAGGGAGAAGCCGCTCATAGCCACCGGACTCCTAGGATCTGTGCATGCCGGACGGCATGACTGGCCAAGCCCCAGGATGGCATGGATGGGTCCCCGCACCCGCCTTCCCTGCCCAGGGGGACGCCCGTGTGCGCAGCCCCAACAGGCCACAGCCCGGGGGTCTGAAGGGAACGGAGCACCTGGGCTCCTTCTCCCCTGCGAGCACCCTGTCCAGCCCTCCGGCTGCCCGGGGCCTGGCTGACGTCTCTCCCTGGGGCGGGGGCGGCCCTGTGTCCAGCTGGAGGAGTCCGAGTTCACCTGTGCGGCAGCCGTGAAAGCTCGGAAGGCAATGGAGGTGGAGATTGA